GTATTTATATACTGTATAACAGCCGTAGATTCTGTTTGTAATGATAAGATCAGTAAAATTAAACCGTTTTCATTTTCAATGGTCCAGAGCCTGGCAATGTTCCCTCAGCTTGCATTACCTACTCGTTACACCGTAGGCCGCCGCGGTCGAACCAGTTATTATGCATCGTTGCACCTGTATTTGCGAAGATATGGTTATTTCAAGGCCCATCGCGAGGAACGCGCCGCTCGTTCCAAGTCCTTCGAGTCCTAGTAAAACACTCCTAGAGGCTTGGTTCGGTGCAGCTTGTTGCCCCCGCAGGACCACGCTAATTTCGAACTTGTCGTTACAAATGAAAGGGTTCACCGGGTTTGCAACGTTCCGCGGCGCAAATATTTGTTATTCGAATTTGCCGGACCTCCGAGTCCTTAAGGCTGCTCTCGGGAACAAGAAGCGGTGGTTGGCTCCTTATGGGGATTCGGAGCCGCTTAAACGCAATGGCTGTCCGACACTCTCTCCCTCTCGCTGCCGAAAAACGCGGCACCCGTTTGAAGTCCGACGTGTTTGAACAGCGGTCATTGTCTTCCTTTCTCCTTCTCTTCACCCGTTCTGCTCGTTTCGCTTTTTTGCTTTTTCGTTCGCTTCTCACTCCGTCTCTTTCTGTCTTTGGTAGCTCGCTCCCGTTGGACATCGCTGTTACCACCAAGCGGCAAGAAGGCAACTCGTTTCAGATAAGGGCCGACTTAAAAGCTTCCCCCGGGCTCTTGCGAAAAGCATTTTTTACGACACCCCACGATTGAGGTGTCTTTGCGCAGGGTCGGTTGATTTAAGAGCGACGCGGCCCGTTCGCGACGCGATTTCCGGTGCCCTTACTTCATCCCCAAGCCATTTCGGATGTCGTTTTTTGCATTAAATTTTGTTGCCCGAGGTAAGGAACGACTTCGTGATATTTTTGTTAGTTTTTTTCGTCGGCTATCCCGCAACAATTTCTTACCCAGGAGGACAATTAGTGTTCCTAGGCACTCAAAGACGTAGGAACGGAAAACATTGAAATGGTAACATATTATTTGGTTCAATTTAAATTCACTTCGTTTATTTTATTTCATTTCTCATCTCTGAATTGTACAATAAAATTTAAGTTTCACCAAAAAACGATCTAAGAATGTGAACAAAATGTTAAGAACGCTGGGACCATTTATAGAACATACAAGCTTGTGAAGCAAATGAAATCAGTGGTTAGTTTTATAGAGATCGAAACGAAAGTACTTTGACACTGCGTACGACGATGAAATGTGATCAGCTGCGTACTCGTAGTTGCATTAAATCGCAATGACTTAAATGGTCGAAAGCACGTTCTATTTAGTCAGCCAATATTTGACTTTCGCCAGATTGGACCACGGGGCGTAGTGGCACGGCGGCTGCACCCTCGCGTCGACGCCGCGTCGCTACCGCAGTTTGTTTACCGGCCGACTTCGGTTTCGGCTCACGGCAGGTTGATTTAGGATTTAAGGATTTCTACGTTTGTTGTTCGAAGATCACGTGGATAAATATACTCGAGATGATTCCTCTATTTAGGGAATCGCGGCGCGGGTGGGCCCACTTCCGAATTCACGTCACAAACTGTTTAAGTAGAATTAAGTCGAAACTCATCTTTGAATGGAAGTGAGGATGTAACATCTATATCTTGATTTACGTAATATCTTCATAATAATTTCATCACAATATTATGCTGTGTTCGTTTATATTATTAATAAACTGCAAATTTTTAAACAATTATAACAAATTTTACTACCATTGTGGATGAAAAAATATAGTAAACGAAAATAAGTAGTTGAAATTGAGAGCGCGCAGTGGTGAAAAAGTGTGGATTCCAACCAAAGGATAAGTTCTGTTACCCGACAAAGGTTTACCATGAAATCGTACCACGGAGAGGGATCCTCATCGGAGCAACCGGTGGGATCTCATGTTTGGATAGTCTTTAACTGACTATTACACCTGAATGGAATGGTTTTAAAATGGAAAGGACAGCCTCGCCCTTGATCCGACCGGCCCACTTCCTGTTGAAACCTGAATCAGAGGAGACGACCAACGGTCAACAGTAATAATGACGAATGTTTCTTTCGGCAAGTGTGACAGAGAACGATGCGCGCATCGTTTCGCGACTGGTCTTACCTGATGCGCGATTTGTTTCTTTCTTTTCTCTCGACCTTTTTTTCTGAAGGATCGTTCGTAGAATCAATAGGGTTTGGACAAAGGATTCTCGTGGATTCGGTGATCCTTAAACAAAGATCGTGTTGCTGATCAGGAAGCGTGGGATAGGAACCAGATTGGAGGATAAATCGCGTAACGTGATTCTAATCCCTCTTTCATTTCCCTTCTCGTTGCGAGAGAATTCATTTTAACCATTTCGCAAATAATGAAATTGTATCGTAAGCACCTTTTTCAGATGCATGTACACCCTATATAATTATAATATCAAAAAAGTGTTTTAAAAATAATTGAATAAATCCAATTTCCATTTCATATCGTGCAACTGGTACAATTTTTCAAATACATGAACTGTGAACTTTAATTTGAAAATGGCATTAACAGAAAATGTTTTATTGATCCAGATTAAATTCTATTAATAACGTAATCTACATTATAGGAACATACATTTCCCGGCAAGAGAGAAATGGAAAACATGGTTGAACCTAAGCTTTCTTTGGGAACGTAGACACGATTAGATATAGACACACTCCTTGCCGATCGATTTGTCCCAGATTCCCATCCGTCATGGCGAGCAGCCAGCAAAAGGCTAGCCTCCGGTGTATTTCGCCCCCATGTTTCATCGTACGCGTACTACTCCCACGGGAGTCCATGGTAGACAGATCGTGACATAACAGCGTGTACTTTGAAAGGCTGCGCATTCACCGAGCGTTCCAGAATAGAGAGCAACGGACGGGATTGTATACGTAAGTAAGTACTATACATACATAGGTAGGCAGCACCTTTTTCCACCTTCGCAAAATCGATTCCCTTCTTTCGTCCGTGCCCGACCTGCCGCCCTTCCTCGACAATGCACCCCATTGTGAATAGTCGTTTGCCAGAGAGCTGCCACGGCGAGGGAGGGGATGCCGGTCGTGTGGCTGTGCGCGTGTTTATTTAGGATCATCCCTGGCGAGGGCAGCCAGCATAATTCTTCTCCGGCTCGTACAAATCCTGGAAAAGGGCCCAGATACGGATTAGAGGCCTTGCCACGCCGATAGTCGGCCGAATACGAATGCTGGTTCCGGTCACGGAAGTCGCTTACCCTCCTCCCCCGTAGGATTATTTCGACGGTTACCACGTCAGGTTAACGGGAACTGGAACGAGCACTCGCTTTTCCGCTTTCCGCTGTTTCCTGCTTTTCAAACCAGATTTAATTGAATTAACAGATTTCCTATTAGAATTATAAAATGCATCATGTGTTTAGGTGCAATAGTTAGTTCTACATCTTATTTCTTCTAAAATGCTTTTTATGTTCGTTATCTGGATAGTGTCTCTAAGACAACGCGACAGTTGTTAATATTTTCTGGGCTGAGGGAAAGCAAAAAGGGGCAAAATTACACAGTTAAAAGGAAAGCTATCCAGTTGTAGCACTGGTGGTTCTCTGCGCCGTTTGGAACTACTGGCCAGAAGCTCTGGCCAGCGAGTGGTCCTGGTAACGAAACACCGCAGTCAGGTTTCCACAACAAACAGGAACTGAAAAGGGCGACGTGCTTACTCCGGTTTCTTACCGTAGTTTGCCTGATTTATTGACGGAAGTCGATTAGAGTCAATCTTACAGTTAATTAGCGTACCATCGTCGCGTGACGACGCTACGCGATGCGACGTATCGAAGATTGCCGTTAGGTCGGAGGGCGTAGCCTTCCTGTCTCGGCGATGATTTAGTTAGGGTGATAGTATGCAAAGTTGCTGGACCGAACAGGAAGCTCCCTTCGTTTCAGCCTCCTCTCGCATCTGCGGGGAATTAATTTTTCGCATGAAAACAAGCCGAGCTTTTTGTCGAACTTGTAGCAGAAATCGATTACCGTTTCCTCCTCATTATTCTACAGTTCATTAATCGTCGAACCTGATTNTAGTACCTCGTTATAAGTTATATTAAATATCAGTTTTATTGAGTCACTTTATTTAACTATATATCATTCAGAGAACGACTGGATGTGTATAGAACAACGTATTTACTATCAATTCTCGATTTTATTTGTTTTGAAATCTTTCTCCATAAATACTTTATCTTTATGTAGTTCAATAACGCGTTACATTAGTTTACGAGTTTCTCACATCTGTAGCCAAACACGTTTCCATTTACGGCGAATCGTGCAATAAAACAGATTCGTAAACAGGGGACAACGCGAAGCAAAGTGTCCTCAGTTGATAAAGTCGATATACCTGCGTTTATTCACTTAACGTGCCCGAAAAATGTCATCGAGTTATCGATCCGAGACACGCAAGTATCGTATCGACTCGATGAACACATAAAATGTTATGTTATATGATAATTGAAGGATCTCTAGATGGGACGACAGTATATAAATTTTCAGTAAAAGCCAAAGGATGTAAAACTGAATCTGTCCATTAGGAGAATTGTACTATATCCTCAAATATATTATATAATAATGTACATAAGTATAAGGTATTAGGCATGTGAAACGACGAATTATTTTGATTGACGAAGATGAAGATTTGGCTTACAAAGATTGGTAAATTTATGTGTATCTTATAAATCTTTAGTACATCCTTAAGTTCATTTTCATTTCTCATGGTACAAGTTTTACGAATATTTCCAATTTACGAAGAGAAAAGACAAAAGTATATAATTCTTCAAAAATTCTTGTAATATTGGAATTTTAGTAACAGGCAATCGAACTTTGCAAGATACAAAGAACAATAGAATAGATAATATATGATATGCAATATTTCATATGTAAATCCAGTAGTTAATTGAATTAGTATCGCGAGAAGTACTATTTTATCCTACTTTCCAATTTCGCTCGTTACATACATATTCTTCTTACAAGAAATAATGGAAAGGTTAAGTGAAATCAAGAATTTCTAAGCAAGCTTTGCGAGATTTCCACAAATCTCGCGACGGCTTGGCTCGGCGGCGTTGCGACGTCTGTTCGCACTCCGTTATCGCGAACATAATTTTCGAAGTCTAACAACGTAACCAGCACGTGCCTTTTTCCGCACTCGTCGCACGTGTTCACCATGGTAAAGGTGTCGAGTGTCCTTTCCAGAAAATAATACATCCATTTAACTTCTTACGACTCTCGGGACCTGAGTCCCAGGATATCCAAGTCAGAAGGGAAGTAGGTGGTACGGGGTGTGCCCGTTTCTACGAGTGATCACCGACTGTGTAGCTATATGAAAACCCACACCATGTAACGGAAGATAAAAACTAGACTTCTGTTCGTGTGTCATTGTATGATTAAATAATGGCAATGGTAGTCAAATACTGGTATCACTTTATTAAAAATTACAGAGTGTATTATACATTCATGAACTTCTAGAAAAGTAAATTGAAATAATGTCAAATATTACTTATGAGTATATATAATATTAATTAATTATCATCAATTGAAAGTGTCACAAGAAGTATTTGTTAAAAGACTCTTTACTTATATCGTGATAGTGATTCTCTGAAATTCGAGTGTGCGCTTGGAATACCTGAAGGAATTTCACTCGAAGCGTGACGCGCGTTCCGTTCAAAGCGATCGATGAGCGGGAGAAAAAGGGCATGAAAGAAAGAGGAAAGAGAAGAAAAATTGTACCGGCGAAAGGACGCGTCTGCTACTACGCTTCGCATGGCTTAACTGCTAAGGGTAGTTAGACGAGTCGAGGATGCATTCAGTGCCCGGAAGTGGGCGGAACTGCAGCCTGCGCTTCAGCGTTGTATACAAGGACTCGGTTTTCCCTGCTCGCGGGCCAGCCATTATGCTTAGAAAGCGACAGAGACAGAGAGAGCGGATAAAGAAACGGAGAAGGTGAAGCGCCAGGAGTACCAAAAGGACATTCGATATCCGTAATACCGTAATAACAAACGCCGTGGGCCCGCGGCAATGCCTTATTCTCAAATCGTGCATACGGAAGAAGAGAGAAAGAAACGAGGTTTCGGTGCATTCGTGGCTGAGACGGTGACGTAAGGTTTTCGTAAGAAGGAAATCGGATGGTAGCGATTTTAAAGAAAGGTACATAAGTGGCTGGTTCGATGGTTTTCACTCTATTGTAGTGACTCGTGGAATTGGCATGGTTAACCGGAAGTTGAAACAGAACTAACAGGTAAGTCATTGAAGAAATCTCGGTAACTGAATGAAAAACTGTGACCCAAAGAACTCTTGTGAAACACAATACATTTCATGCAATTTTAAGATTAACTCCCATTCTAATTGAAAGTAATTCGAATTTTCATTTTTAAGTTTCACTTTCATTCAGAAGATCCATAAAACAACGTAATAGAATTTGCCGATTTGGTTCCTTCTCGATTAAACAGTTCTCGAATCACGGGCTCCTCGGTATGCGAGACTTTCGAACGTCCGAGCGCGTACGGACCTAAAAACCAGTTCCTCTTCCCACGATCGAGTAACACGCACTCGGCTGATCAGTGGGTCGCGATGAAAAAATTGCAAACGTCTTCGATGTTATATTAACCCGCCATAAAAAGCCAATTTGGAGTACAATGGAATTTCGTCAGGCGCGCGGTGGAGGGAATCATCCTCCGCGTGTTCGATATACGCGGCACGGGGTACGTCGACGTCTGTCCGCACGGGCGCGCGGCCCTCCACGATCGTGCTTCATTAAAAATCAGATTGCCGTGGCGCGATTTCGAGGTGGAAGATTAGGCAGCCCAGCCAGCCTCTTATTTGATTTGCAAATCGATATTTTTATGTCTTCTTCTGACGCGATCGTCCCGGCCCCATCGACAATTTCGTACCTTTTCTCAATCGTTTCTTTTTACCTCTCTCGGTAATATATTATCTACGAGAAATGTTAATGACATTATAGAACTTCAATAATGGTATAGCTTCCACTGGTCCTCCGCTGATGCGCGTCACGTCAGACGTAAAAGCATGCACGACGCTTTTAGAGTTCGATAATAAATTCTTTTTGAAATCTCTCGGCTCTAAAATATTACACGACTTAGGAACCTGAAATCACTTTGGTTATGTCCGTAGGAAAATAAAATTTGTTGTTTGTAAACGGTATTAAAAATTCCGAGGACGAGCACGAAGAAAATCGTAACGTTCATCCTGCCTCGAATGACATTCGGGTTTTATAGGAAACCATAAAATAAGAATGATGGAAATTAAGGATTAAGAGAGACAGGATATTGGTTGGAATACTATACATATATCATCTGTTTCGACTGAATCTAATTCCATGTACAAAATAAATACAAACAGATGAATATATTAAAATGTATTTA